ACACACACACACACACACACACACACACACACACACACACACACACAGTGTTGACACACACACACAGTGTTGACGTCACCTTCTCATTGAGCAGGATGAGGCCGAGCAGAGGGCGAGACATGGACCACTGGTTCCTACAGTCCTCGAAGATGATGATATTCAACACTGTGGACAGCATCTGCTCAACAACAACAACAACAACAACAACAACAACAGGGTCAGTGTTCTTCTTCTCTGGTGCTCTGTGAGCGTCAAGTGGGGAGCCAACAAGAAACAACCTGAGCTAACGTTAGCATCAGCTTGTCTCTCCAGGGCGTTCTGCATCCTCTGATCAGCGTCGAGAAGCTGCTTTACTTAGTGTTTTAATCAGAGGAGGAGACCTCTGTAGTAAAAACCTGCTGAACCATGAACCCTGGAGGAACCCTAACAACAACCATGATGCCGTGCTGCTCCACCACGTTACTGTGTCTGCCTGCCTCATGGACTCATGTCTGTGGGATAAAGAGCGTCTCTGACCTGCTGGATCATCTCCGGGTGCTGCTGCATGATGTGGAGGAAGCGGTCGTCCGTCGCCATGGGAGTGGGTCTCTTCTTCGTGGAGCGAGACAGCTGCTTGAACAGGTAGGTGACTATGTGGTCCAGACTGGAGCAGCATCCTGTGCACACCATCGTATCTGAAACACACTCCGATGAATAAAACCGCGAAAAATCACATGATCCCTCCTGAAAACTGAAACTGGACCTGTGAGCATCTTACCGAGCGCCGTGAGCCCCTCTGATATCGAGGACAGGATGTACATGACGACGTGAGGCTCTAAACTGGCGATGAAGTTCATGTGGTCCTGAGTCAGAACCTCCAGCAGAGAGTAGAAGGACTGGCTGAGCTTCGGGTAGTCCTGCAGGGACAGGAAGAGTACTGATCTGAGCTAACGTTAGCATCAGACGTCTGGATCTTAAGTTATGAGAGAAACAAGCTGAGCTAACGTTAGCTACCATGATAACTATGATATAAACTCACCAGCAGGTCACTGTGAGGGATGGACAGCAGCAGTTTGATGAAGGTCTGTAAGGCGTTGTCCAAAGCGTCGTCGCCGTATAGACGGAAGACCCCGAAGTTGACGTAGTTTCCACTGAGCACCGCCTTCAGCATAGCGAAGCACACGCTGACCCCCTTCAGCTTCACACCGTAGACCTGGTCCTTAGGGACCTCTCCCAGGGTCAGGATACGGTTTCCTATATGAAGAGAGACACCAGACCAGTGGTTCATTATATAATAATATATTACTATATAATAATATATTACTATATAATAATATATAGTAATATATTATATAATAATATATTATATAGTAATATATTATATAATAATATATAGTAATACATTATATATAATAATACATTATAATATAAGATATTATAATATAATATATTATAATGTATTATACAAAAATAGAAAACGTTCACAACAGAACTGTTGAGTTTGGTTTTCGTTTAAATCCTGAATTATGGAAATATTCAACAAACTGTTTTATGATATTAATGTATTTTTTAAACATATCAAACATTTTGTGACTTATAATTGTGACATTAATTAAAATAACAACTGGAGCCGATATCAGAATGAGTTATATGCTGATGATATAAAAATAACTTTTAATAAATAACCATTTAAATAAAGATAATTAGGGCCCGAGCAACCGACAACGTCGGGCCAGCGAAGGCCCTATTGAAACTGTACCCGTTTGGGTAAACGTACGCATGGTTGGAGGACTTGCCATGCATGAAAACTCACCAAATTTTGGGGACTTGTCAGGCCTGGTGAATATAGCCATCTGAAAAAGAATGCATCTTTCTGTGTAAAAAAAATGGCTCTCTAGCGCCCCCTACAAGTCGGACCGGCGACACCCCTCAGCCAGTATGTCCGATTTACTTGAAATTCAACACACATGTCCACTTGAGCTAGATCTACAAAAAAGCCAATCAGACCCCTAAGCTCCGCCTACTTAGATTTTCCGCCATATTGAATTTAGTGTAAAACACATTTTTGCGAACTCCTACATGCTGGGTCCGATTACTACCAAATTTGATGTGGATCATTACTAGATATACGTCATCAAAAGTTATCAAAAGCTTTTTGATAAGTTTTCGTTTACACGATATGGACCAATAAACTTCTTAGGGGCGTGGCTTAATATCAATACACAACTTCTCAACCGTTTGTCCTAAAATTACAAAACTTGCAGCATATGTGCACATCGTATCCTGTAACATACCCTGAGAATTGTTTTGCATTCAACCACTAGGGGGCGCTACAGTAAACCCGCGAAGTTGTGCTTTTTGTCACTTTTTGCATTTTTCAGCCTTCGTACTCTAACGAAGTCCTAGAGATTTTAAGCGATCAACTTCTCCTTTGGTCAGGATGCTCTTAAGACCTTTGTGATTAAAAGTTATTAAAATCGAGAGTTTTCATCGAAGAACCTTGACGTGGCGTGGCGGCCATTTTGCCTCATTGTTTATCAAAAAATAAGTTCTTATAAGTTGTTATAACTCCAAGGTACATTATCCAACCCGCACAAAACTTCTTATGCATGATGCTACTTCAAGTTTGAACATACTTCAATTGAAAAAAATGCAATAACTCATAGCGCCGCCTACTGGCTAAAGGAAATGTCATATTCTATACTTTTATTTATTCCTCCTAGCCAGGTGACCGTATGACTCAAATTTAGTAAGGATAGCCTTAAGACATTGATGCATCATCATGAATATTGTGCGTTTTCGTTGAACACTGTTGCCGTGGCGACGCATCGTTCGCCATGAAAAAGGAAGCTGATGGTTTAGTGCAGGGGTATTCAATTAAAATTCCAAAAGGTCTAGATCGAGAAAATCTCTTCGGGCAAAGGTCCGGAACATTACAATAATATCCAACTTGCGCTATTTAGTGCATATATATATATAAATATATATATTCGAGAAGTCTCGTAGTAGTAACGTGTCTGTGTAGTCAACAACTGTCAAATCAAATAAAGAAAGTATATTAATTATATTTTAACAAATATTATTCTCAGTTTTCAAATTTAACTGGATGGATTATAAAAAATACATAGAAATACATAAATACATGTTCTCTAATTTCAAGTAAAATTAAAGCTGCGAGCAGCGATGAACGGGCCCTCGCAATCTGCAGCGCGTCGTGGGTGCTGGCGGGACTCCGGCCTGCGCGGCCGAGAACGTCCGCGACCGTCTGACAGCGCGTCCGCGAGCGAGACGGATTTAATCCCGCGTGGACCGCCTGATGCTGGAAATGATGCTTTGCAAATAGTCTGATGCTTCCTGTTTCCACTGCCTGGCACTACAGAACACGTGCAAACATGCATTATGTTGCTCTGTGTCAAGTGTAAACCACATTGTGTAAAAATAATGTAAATTGGAGGCGTTTGTCACAAACACATATATCCTTTGGCCAGCAGGTGGCGCTGTGAGTATTAGGGGAAATTAGCTTGTAGACATCCTCAGGCCATGAGTGTTATCAAGCATGAAAAGTTTGGGACTGTTTGGAACAAGTCCAGCTGAGTTACATCAGCTTTTTTCATGGGGAATCACATAAAGTAGCCGCCCGGTGCGGCTAAACTATTCCGTCAAACGTCAAGCTTTTGATAACTTTTAATCACAATGGTCTTGAGATTGGACTGACCAAATTTGAAGAGGATCAGACGAATTCCCTAGGAGGAGTTCGTTAAAGTATAGCGACTAGAAATAGGCCAAATTTTATGGAAAAATGACAATTGAAACTGGCCGACTTCCGGTAGGGTTTAGAGCATGGTCCCACCAAGAGACTTATATTTAAGTCTCCATGGGATACATGTGCCTACCACGTTTCATACATGTAGCTGAAACGTAGCGCTGGGGCTGCTCTTTTGAAATATTGTAGGGGGCGCTATAGAGGCAATTTAAAACGGACGATTAAAAAAAATCATATAGAATATTTCTTCCTATGACACATGTACAAAGTTCCATGAGTTTTTGAGCATCCCAACCCACTAAACCATCAGCTTCGTTTTTCATGGCGAACGATTTGTCGCCGCGGCAACAGCGTTCAACGAAAACGCCCAATATTCATGATGTTGCATCATCAATGTCTTAAGGCTATCCTTACTAAATTTGAGACTCATCAAGTAACCTGGCTAGGAGGTATAAATAAAAGTATAGAATATGACATTTCCTTTAGCCAGTAGGCGGCGCTATGAGTTATTGAAATCTTTTCAATTGTAGTATGTTTCGGCTTGAAGTAGCATCATGCTTAAGAAGTTTTGTGCGGATTGGATAATGTACCTTGGAGTTATAACAACTTATAAGAATTTATTTTTTCAAAAACAATGATGCAAAATGGCCGCCACGCCACGTCAAGGTTCTTCGATGAAAGCGCACGATTTTGTTAACTTTTAATCACAAAGGTCTTTTAATCACAAAGGTCTTAAGAGCATCCTGACCAAAGGAGAAGTTGATCGCATTAATTCTCTAGGGGGAGTTCGTTAAAATACGAAGGCTGAAATCTGGAAAAAGTGACAAAAAGCACAACTTCGTGGGTTTACTGTAGCACCCCCTAGTGGTTGAATGCCAAACAATTCTCAGGGTATGTTACAGCATGCGATGTGCACATATGCTGCAAATATTGTAATTTTAGGACAAACGGTTGAGAAGTTATGTGTCTTGATATTAAGCCACGCCTTTAAGAAGTTTATTGGTCCATATCTTGTAAACGAAAAGAGTTATCAAAAAGCTTTTGATAGATTTTGATGATCTAGATCCAATAATGAGTCACATCTAATTTGGTAGTAATCACACCCAGCATGTAGGAGGAGCTTGCAAAAATGTGTTTTTCACTAAATTCAATATGGCGGAAAATCCAAGTAGGCGGAGCTTAGGGGTCTGAGAGGCTTTTTTCTAGATCTAGCGGATTGGGACATGTGTGTCGAATTTCAAGTAAATCGGACATACTGGCCGAGGGGCGTCACCGGTCCGATTTGTAGGGGGCGCCAGAGAGCCATTTTTTACACAGAAAGATGCATTCTTTTTCAGACTCTAAGTTCAGCCAGACCTGACAAGTCCCAAAAATTTGGTGAGTTTTCATGCATGGCAAGTACCCACAAAAACTCCCAAACGGGAAAAATAAGAATAACGAAAAATAATAATACCCCTTACAATTTCAATAGGGCCTCGCCGGCCCGACGTTGTCGGTTGCTCGGGCCCTAATTAAAGCTGCGAGCAGCGATGAACGGGCGCTCGCAATCTGCAACGCGTCGGGGGTGCCGGTGGGACTCCGGCCTGCGCGTCCGAGAACGAGACGTTTTTAATCCCGCGTGGACCGCCTGATGCTGGAAATGATGCTTTGCAAATAGTCCGACGCTTCCTGTATCCGCTGCCTGGCACTACAGAACGCGTGCAAACATGCATCATGTAGCTCTGTGTCAAGTGTAAACCACATGGTGTAAAAGTAATGTAAATTGAAAAAATTAAAAATGAGCTTGTAGAGATCCACAGGCCATGAGTGTTATCAAGCATGAGAAGTTTGAGACTGTTTGGAACAAGTCCAGCTGAGTTACATCAGCTTTTTTCATGGGGAATCATGTAAAGTAGCCGCCCGCTACGGCTAAACGATTCCGTCAAACGTAAAGCTTTTGATAACTTTTAATCACAATGGTGTTGTCATTGTACTGACAAAATTTAAAGTGGATCTGATGAAGTCCTTAGGAGGAGTTCGTTAAAGTATAGCGACTAGAAATAGGCCAAAATCTATGGAAAAATGACACAAATATCAAAATTACTGACTTCCGGTAGGGTTTAGAGCATGGTCCCAAGAGACTTATATTTAAGTCTCCGTGGGATACATGTGCCTGCCAAGTTTCATACATGTAGCTCAAACGTAGCGCTGGGGCTGCCGTTTGAAATATTGTAGGGGGCGCTATTGAGGCAATTTAAAACGGCCAAGCCCAAAACCCATATACACTGTCTGCCTCTGACCTATGACACATGTACAAAGTTCCATGCGTTTTGGAGCATCCCAACCCACTAAACCATCAGCTTTGTTTTTCATGGCGAACGATGCATCGCCACGGCAACAGCCTTCAACGAAAACGCACAATATTCATGATGATGCATCATCAATGTCTTAAGGCTATCTGTACCAAATTTGAGACTCATCAAGTCACCTGGCTAGGAGGAATAAAAAAAAG